TTGAAATTAATTTTGTTTTGATTTTTTCTTTTTTGTCTTTTGATTTTTATTTATTGTAATTTATATACTTTTGTATGTTTGATATACTTAGGACTTATATTATGTTTATTAAGCTCTTTTGTTGTTGATTTTCTAAATAGGTATCATAGACATCACATTAATTGTTTTTATACAAATGCTTTTTCTTTGTTAAATTTGATTTTTTTTTATCAATTTTAGTTATAGTTATAATGCTGATTTGATATTCTCTAACTGTTGAATTTAAATCTTAAATGGATTTTTCTCAAAAACTTATAACATCATTTGTTTATTTTAGTTAAGTTTTTCAAAAAGTTTAGCCCAAGTTAGTTTTTTTTTATTATTTGCCTCTTTTGATTCATAAATTTATAACATGTTGAAAGCTTAAAAAGCTTTTAAAAACATGTTTCATTTCTCATCATATCATAATAGCTTTAAAACAGTTTTGTTTTATATCTAAAAACACAATAGGAAATTAAAGTATGGTGAGGTAATACATGTGAGCGTACTTACCATGTCAAATAGTCAGTATAGACAGTAGTTGCTTTAATATATTTTTCAGAAAAACCGGGTGGAAGAACTGAAGTACAAAAATAATTTTTTTACATGATGCAATATAAAATATGGTGTTACGAGTTAAATAAATCTTATTATCTAATTTATTTTAGGATTCATCATATTTTCATAAAGAATAGTAAAACAATGGTAATTATATGTTTTTGGGCTCATAATTATGGCCAAGAGCACGACAGGTTTGACAACACTTTTCATTATTTTTGTTTGGAAAATGGCGGAAGAGCAACATGAACAATTGACCCACTGTTTAGAAAATGTAAAAGGGTGCTAAGTAAACATAGATTGTATTCAAGATTAGAATATATAAGTGAGTTGTTGGGAACACATGCTTATCTTTTTAATTGCAAATGAACATTTATTTTATTATGACTTCTACCGTTGGTGATATCATTAGCTCAACTGGACAAAGAAAGTTTTGGTCGTTGATGATGATCAGTTTTCTAATAGCATCTACACATTATATGACGTTATTATATATTTGTATATATGCAATACATTATAAATTATAAATTTTTCTAATCTATTCTATAAGTTTTAACTTTTACGATATTAGTTTTTTGGTTAGTTTGAATTTTTTCATTAAATTTCAAGTAAAATTATATTTTAGTTTTTTAATATAACTTTATTTTCTATTTGTTATTTAAGATTTTTATTTTTATTTTTCCATCTATAAAACAAAATTAATGTTTTTTTTTTATTTTCTTCTCAATTAATTTAGAAGTTAGAATTTTCCTAATCTATATTATAAGTTTGAGCTATTATGATATTGATTTTTTTTTTGTTAGTTTATCTCTTTTGAAAATAAATGTCCATTTTATTTTGAAAGATACTATTTTTCTTTAGTTTTGTAACATAATTTTCTTTTTTACTCGTTACTTAAGCTTTTTTATTTTAAATTTTCTATCTATAAAATGAAATTAATGTTTTAAATTTTGACGGATGCTATATTTTAGTTTTTTAACACAATTTTCTTTTCTATTTGTTACTTAAGTTTTTTATTTTGATTTTTCCATCACAATCAATGTTTTATATTTTCTTGTCAATTAATTTAGAAGTTAGAATTTTCCTAATCTATATTATAAGTTTGAATATTTAAGATATTGGTTTTTTTGTTAGTTTAATTCTTTTGAAAACAAATTTCTACTTTATTTTTAATGATACTATTTTTTTTGGTTTTTTAACATAATTTTCTTTTCTATATGTTACTCAAGTTTTTTTCTATAATTTTTCGATGATTAAATCGAAATTAAGGTTTTAATCATACTTAACATTTTTTTATTTAATAAAAAATGCTGATATGGATCAATCATATCGAGTTTTTTAATCCTATGTGGACACCTTTAGAGGCATTTAACATAATTTTTATTAGTAACTAGGTATATAACTCGTGCTACGCGCAAGTCCGTATTAATATTTTGGTTTATTTTTTTTAGCTACTATCGTTAAAATTATTAAAAATTATATATATTTATAGAATTTTTTTATTTATATAAGAGAATTTAATATATAATGTGTAATTTATCCTATTTTTATTTATAAATTTTTAAAAACTATTAGGTAAAATAATAATAATGAGATCTATCGAATTATCCAATTTTAACGTACATATACATCTGGTTTAGATAAATATAATCTTGCTAAGATTTTTGTATTATTTTCTGTTTTCCATAAAATTTCTTTAGTTCTTTTTTTTCTTAAAGGTTTATGTGTTCAAATATTTATTTATTTATTTATTGAAAGTCTTATTGATATTGTATACCACTGTATATATAATCCATGATTCATGTTGATCCGCATTTAATTTTGTTAAGAAGCTGTAATGATCATCCAAAACTATTTTTTCCTTCTCCATCATGTCTTCCAAGAGTTTTATGTTATATTTTTATTCAGTTTTCATTGTTTTAATTGTTAAATCGAGTTGTTGTAGATTTTTTAAAATTGATAATTGATAATGGATACCTTTTTTATAAATGTATTGTTAATTGTTAATTTTTTATTTAACTTTTAAAATTTTAAACCTATTAACATTTTCTGATTTAATAAATATGTTGATTTGGATTAATCAGATTGAATTTACTTTTTTTTTGTTGGACATAATTTGTTAAATTAAATTTTAATGTTTTAATTATATTCAATAATTTTGGTTTGATTTAAAAGTTGATGTGGACCAATTAAATCAAATTTTTCCATCCTAATCATACTTAATATTTTTTTTATTTAATGAATATGCTGATGTGGACCAATCAGATCGAGTTTCTTAATCCCATGTGGACGCCCTCAATGCACTATGCCATCAACTTTTATATATTACTAGGTCTTTCACACGTGCTACGCGCAGGTATATATTTATATATTTTTAATATTAATTTTATTTATTTTGAAATCCTTAAAGTTTTGTTTTTGAAATGGAAATACTTAAAACTGTTTCAAATTGTCTTTATTGGTAAGTTATTTATAAATTTTGTTTAATTAAAAGATATGAAACCATGATAATAAAGCTAATTGTAACAAAATAAATAAAACAATGGTAAGCATTAAATACATTAAATTAAAAGTTTACATATATTGAAATCTCAGGAGCTCAATTGGTATTTAATATTTCTTTTTACTTTTGGTATTGAATTTTCCGTTTTTCATTGAAGGAGACGTTTTTTTGTTCTTAATTTTTAATTGTAGAGATATTAAGAAATTTTCTTTCTTATGTTTGGTCTAAAATGGTTATAGATAATATGTTTGCTTTGATTTATTCCATTTAAGTGCTTATTCTAAGAATCGTATGTTAAGTAATTTTCCTTTTTTATTTTTGTTTTTAAAAGGTTATAAAATTCATGTTTGCTTTGAGTTATTATATATAAACGTGTTTATTTTAAGAGTCTTGCAAGTTGATTATATTGTTTTTAGAGAATCTTAAAATTTTTGGAGATGACAATTTTACCAATTTATTTACCACAAAACCAAAGTTTACCATTCATGAAAGACGATGGTGATGCAGAAGTTGTAAAAACCAAATTTGAAGCTTGGATGGAATGCAATAAGCTGTATGCTGAGGCTAGTACTCATTTGTATACAGAAATTACAGTTTATTTGGCATTCCAAATCTAAAGAGTGGCTACCCCGTCGTCAAATAAAAAGGGTTTCTCATGAAGTACGTCTTGCACACATTCCACCACAATATGGTGAGATTTTTTTAAAAAAACTTTGTTACTTCTTTCTAGAGGACCAACATGTTTTGATGATCTGAAGACAATAGATGGTGTTCTATATCCGACTTTTGCTCAAGCATGTGTTGCGGGCAGATTGATGGATGCACCTAATAATGAGAATTAGAAGATTTGTTATTCTAAAATTTTAAGGTTCTTCTATTAGATTATATAAGTTTATTCAAAGAACATTCTATGTTTGATTTTTTTTTAAAAGAATAAGTTCATATACTATGTGCTTCTCTTCTCGATATATTATGTTTTAAGTTTATATATTCTATAAATTGGGTATACGTTTATCTATTTGTTATCTTTTGTTTATCTTGCATATCGTCAATATATATGATATGTTTCGTCGTTCTCCAATCAATATGTCGCTTTCAATCTAAGTTCATTACTCCAGCTCATGCAAATTGTTTAGCACTTTCAAAACGATTAGCGGTAGCGGTAGACTAAAAAAGAAGAAGATTACTTTGTTTTTGTTATAATTTTTTTTTTTTGAACCTATATTTTTGTTATATTGGTCAAATGGACAAACTACTTTATTTTGCTAATATTGTGACCATCAGCGTAAATATATTATATATATATATATCTATTACTAATAAACAATTTGACAGATGATATTGGTAAATTACTAAGCCTCACATAATTAAAGGTATCCATATAAGATTTAATGAATTATTAGTTATATATGACTGTTATAATTAATTATATATAATTACATGTTTAAAATACATATCATTTTTTTCATGTTTTAGCTCTATTGTTAGAATAGTTTTTTTAACTCATCAGAGAAAGAAAACGTGAAAGCCCATCTGAATGAACTAATGTAATTAAACCAGCCCAAAACTAATGTGTCAGAGTTACTTCGATTAAAACGAAGATACGACTCTTTGTTGCAAATGGAGAAAATTTTACACGGAGAAGCATCAAAACCAAGCAGTGGGGGCGGAAACATAGCCGACCAGAGGAGTGACTCCACGCCGTAATACAGAGCTGGGAGCCGTCCAGTATGAAGGAGATTGAGGATGACGGAGAAAATCTCCGGGTCAAACCAGCAACCTCTCTTATACTCTTTCAGTAAATTTTTCTTGAAATTTTGTGGCAACAATACATTGGCCCGCTGATTAGAAAAGGAATAAAATATTGTTAGTGAAAAGGGTTCGTATTAAAAAATGTAAGACCTAGAGTCTAGAGAAGAACTTACTCTTTCAGTTGTAGATGAACTTCGGCTTTGTTTTTAGCCACACCATTGAAGTTCTTCTCATTATCAATGATGAGGACCACTTTTCCAATGACATCTAAACAGAAAAATTGTAATGTTAGAACATAATATTATAATAGATACATGTACATAGAGATAAAATAATTAATTTACCGTATAGATCTTCATTCTTGTCTACTATTTTTTTTAACTCATCATAAGAACGGATCCGGAACGTTTGTCTCTCTATAATATGATCATGCTGGTCGGACTTATCCAACACGGTTTTTGGAGCGAATTGGATTAGAAACTTGTGAGCAGACACATTGTAGCTGGTTTTGTTATCAATAACCAGAAAGTTATTAATGTTGTAGACAGTATCAGCTTTTAGGTTCAGCTGATAGTAACCTACTCGATTAGCTGGTATGAATGCTTGGATGATGTTTTCCTGAAAGTTGTTAGAATAGAATATGTTAGTGCAAATTAAATTGTAATTAGATTATAAGCACATAATTTTAAAGATACCTTTTCATCGATGAAAAGGAGTTCGAAACCCATTAGCAACCCTCCTTTTTTGGCGTTTCGTGCCTTCCAATAATGGATTATCCTAGCAAGCACATTCTTCTTATTAAAACCTTTTTGAAGCTCATCGAAAGAGGTATGTGATTTGATGGGAGAAGAAGCACATGAAGCAGCCATTGTTTCAATATCTTATATCTATCTCTTTAAGGATTCATTTGATTTAGCTAGTTGTATGAACTATTAAATGTTGTGGATGTGCTTATTTATAAGCAATAACAAATACATTTAACCAGAAAATTTCTTTTATGTTAATAGGAAGTTTAACATTTCACACTGTTTAACTTTTTATCAGTTTTACTAGGTATTTACCCGCGCTACACTGCAGGATATTTTTCTAAATTTTGTATATATTTTTAATATAATAAAATTATTTTTATAATATAAATGAGTATTTTATATTTTTTTATTAGCTTAAGTTATATATTTATATATTTTAAATCTGAATAAACGTTGTATATCCTTAATTTTTTTACTTCTTAAAATTATAAATAGCTATTAAATTTGTTTAGCTAACTAACTATAAATGTATATAAGAATAAAATAATATATTTTTAAGTACTTTCATGCTAATAGTAAATATAATATATTTTCTCCACTAAATTGCCACTTGATCCTCCGTTGTAATTATGTGAAACAAAATGCCATTGAAAAAAAGATTTAGTAATTAATAGATTATTTTGAAGTATAAAATTTATTTATTTATCAAATATTTATTATAAACATATGTTTCTAAACCACCAAACTATAATCAATAACATTCATATTAAAACCATTGTTGTTGCTTTCGAACCAAACAGAAAATTCTATTTAAACTCTTGAACTTTCGATTTTGTTGAAGTTAAATAATTAAATTTTGGTTACTGTAAACATATTGTAACTTGAAATTTTAGTAAAGAGAAATTTCATCTTCTTACAAAAACCGAGAAATCGCATCTCCCGTCAAAACAAAAAAATTACATATTCCTACGAAAACTGAGAAATCACATATTCCCGCCAAAACCAAAAAAATTCATTTTATCGTCAAACATAAAAATTTATTTTCCCACCAAAACAGAGAAATCATATTTTTTCGCAAAAACCAAGAAAACAAATTTTTCTGCGAGAGACTGTGTTTTTCCGCCAAAACCGAGAAATTTCATCTTCCTACAAAAACTCAACAATCGTATTTTCCCGTCAAAACCGAAAAGTGCATTTTTCCACGGAAACCAAAAAATCGTCTATTCCCTTTAAAAAGAAGAACGCATAAATCTGATGCAGCAGGTAGAGTAATAAAATAAGATTGAAAAGACCTAATATTTAATGATAATTTAAAGGAAAAAAGAGAGAAATTTTGTTTTGTTTTAAATAATTATTTATATCAAAGGATCTTATGGGCTTTCAAATGTAATGAGTTTTATTTAGTTGTTAATCTTGAATAAAATTTTTGACCCAAATGAATTGAAAGTTTTTTTTAAATGAGCTGTATTAATAAAATATTCTTATTGGTTGATTTTTTTGCTGAGATGTCATGTTGAGAAAGCTTGAAAAAGCTTAGGTGTGATCACATGGACAGACTTATGGGTTATTGTTGTGTTGATTACTTACATTTGTATTAGATTTTCCTTTTTTACTATAAGATGCTTTTATATCGATTAGTTTATAGTAAGCCATGGATATACTATATTGATTGTTTAATAGAATAGAATTGAGAAAGTCAGAGAACCGAAAAATCAATGGCAAATTAATGGCAAACATTCTGTATCTTTATCTTTTTCCCCATTTACAAAAGAAAAATAAATGACAAATATTCATCCTTATCAGTTCAATAATAATAAACAAATGATCCCTAAGAACGTGCTGAATCAATCGTACTGTTACCAGTGAAATGCTTGATTGTTCCAAGCCAGATTGATAAATACTCCATGCCATCTTAGATGATTTTTTTTTTTAGAGGGAGATGGATCGATGATCTTAATCAATATTTGACGGCAAGATAGAGAAATGGCGATGAGGAGATCTAAGATAGAGAAACAGTGAGGAGTAAATTGGGATCCCACTTCCCAGGGTTTTTTGCCTTTTTTTAATTGGGCACTAATCTGAAATGCTCCTCCGTACACCCGAGAAATCCGATATACCCCCGTTATAACATTTTTTTTTTTGATTTTTATTTTAAACGAAAATGCGTGAAATGATGATGGAGGGTATCCGAAATCCTCTAATTATGAACACTAACCAAATAATATCTATTGGGTTTTGGCCCAAACATAAATCAAAATCGGCCCAAACCTAAATCTAAATCTAGCCCAAACCCAAACCAAAAACAACTTCCACTTCCCTGATTTTTCGGTCAAACTGCCTCCTTTCCAACTTTTCATCTTCTCCGATTCAGAAACCACCAACATTTTCATCTTCTTCGAGAAATGATCAAAAATCCGATCCGATCAAATCCGAAAAACCACCGTCCGTCGTCTCCAAATTATCGATTATGGCGCTGCGGAGAGGAGTTAGGTTGAGAACGCCTTCACCGGAGGAAATTTCATCGCCGATGCCGTCGAGTTCAAATCCGCCGGGGAAGAAGAAAACAGCAGCGGAGAAGCGTCAGGCGGCACCGCAGAAGAAGAAGAAGTCCCTGAAGAAATCCAAATCAAAGGACGGAACTTCAACTGCTCCGCCTCCACCTCCGCCTCCGCCTCCGCCTGTGACTGAAAGAGAAGAAGAACCGGCGAAGAAGAAAAGAAAGAGGGAGAAGGGTCCGGAGGCACCGCAAGGAAAGGAGAAGAAGTCGCGGAAGAAATCGGACAAATCAAAGTCCGCTCCGCCTCCACCTCCGGCGGCTCCGGTCACTGAAAAAGCAGAAGAAAGTCAGCCTCCGGTGACTGAACAAGAAGAAGAAGCCTTTGTGGCTCCGACGGTGCAACCGGCAACCGGCCCGCCTCCAATTTCAGAACCGGAAATCGGGTCATCGTCGCAACCACCACCACTGGTAAACCCTAAATCGTGTTCTTCAATGAGTAGTATAGTTGGGTCCAACTAGTCCGACTAGTGTGAGTAGTTCAACTAGTTCAACTAGAACGGTTAACTAGTCCGAATAGAATAACTAGATTGTAGTCATACTAATCGTACTAGTCGTACTAGTAATCATAATAGTTGGCCTAGTTTGTCAGTAGTTGGCCTAGTATTCGTACTAGTCGTACTAGTTTGACAGTAGTTGGCCTAGTAATCGTACTAGTCGTACTAGTTTGACAGTAGTTGGCCTAGTTTGACAGTAGTTGGCCTAGTAATCGTACTAGTCGTACTAGTTTGACAGTAGTTGGCCTAGTAATCGTACTAGTCGTACTAGTTTGACAGTAGTTGGCCTAGTAATCGTACTAGTCGTACTAGTTTGACAGTACTAGTCGTACTAGTTTGACAGCAGTATACTAAATCGGTTTCCTTATTTTTGCAGCATGATGATGATGATGTAGAAGAACCAATGCAGCCTCTCGGATATTTCTTCCATCCCACCGAATATCGAAAGGGATGTAAGCTAAGTACCAAATGCTTGCAACACAAATTTAAGGAGGATGTATTTCCAATGTTGGAAGAGGATGAGAAGAGTTGGTTTCTGAACCATCCGCAGTTCAAGCACCTGTTTCACATGAAGACTTATGCAACGAGAAAGGTGATGGGGCTGTGGATGTTGCTTCTACGCACAGTTCAAACGGAGAAGGGTAGACAGGCTTGGTTTGTGGTTAACGGAGTGCCCATTAGATACTCCATCAGAGAGCATGCTCTCCTCTCGGGACTGTACTGCCACGAGTACCCAACCGATTACCCGAAGTTAGATGGCATGAGGTTTGCTAACAACCATTTTAGAGACGAAAAAATTACAGCTGAAGTTGTGCTAAAAGCACTTCAGGGGATGAGGTATAATAACACTGGGAATCGGCTAAAGATGGCTGTCTTGTACTTCTTGGCGGTGGTGATAAGAGGGAGATCAAAGCATGGAGTAGCCATAGAGCCTTTCGTTCTGAGGATGGTTGATAATCTCGAGCTGTGTAAGACATTCCTGTGGGGGCGATTTACTTTCGAGGACAACATCAAAGAGATTTTTCATATAGGGAACCATTTCAAAGGATCGATCCCAGAGAAAGCGAGTTGGACGTTTCCTGGGTTCCTCAACCTTTTGGAAGTAAGTCGTATTTCCTACTGTTTTAATTAGTCCGAATAGTACAACTCGTCCGACTGTTTTAATTAAATATGCAGATTTTTCGTATTAATAGTATGACTACGTCAACTAGTGCGAATAGTACAACTAGTCTAACTGGTCTAATTATATGTGCAGATTTTGGCGTTTGAATGTATTCCAACCCTGAAGACACAATTTCGGGTGAAAGCAACAAATGCAGAAGATGATTGTCCAAGAATGTGCAAATGGGAGTTCACGTAGACTGGCACAACTGGATATTCGCTGGGTTCAATAAATGAGCATCTTGGAGATACAAAGATATTTTACTTTTTGTTATTGGGATCAATTGTAATCGTACTAGTCGTACTAGTTTGACAGTAGTTGGCCTAGTTTGACAGTCGTTGGCCTAGTATTCGTACTAGTCGTACTAGTTTGATAGTAGTTGGCCTAGTTTGACAGTAGTTGGCCTAGTATTCGTACTAGTCGTACTAGTTTGACAGTAGTTGGTCTAGTATTCGTACTAGTCGTACTAGTTTGACAGTAGTTGGCCTAGTATTCGTACTAGTCGTACTAGTTTGACAGTAGTTGGTCTAATATTCGTACTAGTCGTACTAGTTTGACAGTAGTCATACTTGTATTCGTACTAGTCGTACTAGTTTCCCAGCAATTAATTAATCGGTTTAATTTTTTTTCCGTTATACTTCAGGACATTACTAGTATTTTGACTGCTGAGGGTGAGGAAGTAGATCTCATAGAGAGGGCCATGGAAGAGACACAGTGGCAGGACTTTGAACTGAAGGATGATTCAGATGTAGCTGACCCTATTGTTGATGGGTGGAACAAGTTTATAGTCCGCCAACAAGGGAAGATACTGTGGGAGGATGTCTTCATGGCCGATGTTCAATCCCGAGTTGTCGAAAAAGAAAATGTCCAAGAAGAAGATGTCCAAAACGAAGGTGCGGCAATAGGT